ACATTTGAGTAAGTTCCGTAGATAAGATGAGATAATTGTACTGTGTTGGATGTTTTCTCATTGTACCATGACTGTTTTTAGGAGAATGTCCCTTCTTTCTTTTTTCCATTTCTTTAGGAAGTACACACTGAAGTATTTAAGGGCTATCAAGTCTGTAATTTATTTCTCAAGCTGTTCAGAGGGTGACAAAAAAAGTCATGTGAGGAGCCAGTGGGGCACTGATTGGAGCCCCACTCCCACAGCAGGCACACCCCCTACCCTCCTCTGCCAGGCTGTCCACAGCAGGTCTAGGTTGGGATTGCCCTGGTTTCAGGTGCCCTGGTCTCAAAGGTCTGGAGGGTGAGGACCGTCCTAGGCCTACGTCTGCCCCTCAGCCAGGACTCGGCCTCTAGGAGCGCAAGTCTGCCCACCTTGCTGTTCTCCTGCAGAACGCGCTGGCTATCTTGGGCCTCTTGGCTCTCCGTTGAGAGTGTGTCAGGACCGACTGGCTGTTAAGGCCCCAGCTGCGGCCGAGCGGCCCCCTCCCTTAGCTGTGCTGTTTGCCTTCCAGCTTTTCGGACGAGCTGGTCGACGAAGCGCTGGGCCGCGTGGCTGCTGAACTTCAGGATGTGTGTGAAGACTACGCAGAAGCTGTGTTCACCTCAGAATTTTTAGAGGCTGCTGCTTGAAGGCTCCCCAAGGTGGAAGGGGGGGGACCCTCATCTCACACTGGAGAAGGGCGCCACCACCCTCTGGTTCAGCCCACAGGAAGTCTTTCGCCTTAGCTGCCTGCCCAGGCCCAGAAGGTGCAGCCCGCTGAAAGGACGCGGGAGTGCCAGTGATGGTGCCCTTGCGCTGCGTCTACTGGCAGCAGTGGCGTGGGTGGTTTATGACTGAATCGGTTACACTTATCAGGGCCGGGGAAACATTGTGAATCGGTTATGACAATATAACATTTTCTGAATGTATCCAATTCCTACTGAAACATTATGTTCAGGCCTCTGGTGAAGATAAGCAATTAACCTGAAATAAACGTAAGCTTCAGACTGGGTGGGATTCAGGTTGCTGGTGAACCTGCAGGCGGCATCCAGGCCAGCGGAAGCGCCATCCCAGCAGCGGGCTTGGGTCTCGGTCTGTCGGCAAGTCCCGTCAGGACACCCGTCTCCATCTCCTGGGTTACCGACTCGTGCGGGGCCCAGGGTCTGACTGAACTGCCACAGCCCTGCTCTCTCCCCGCTCGTGAAAATAAATAGAAACCCACTGTACCCATCCATGCCCACCGCCCACGCCCAGGGTGGTCTGGGACACGGTCAGTCCCCTGGTCTTTAGCTGTCCTGACAACTGTGAATTCAGAGCAAGCCTGGGGGCTCTGGAGAGGACCAGGCCTCCCTGCTTCCCTGTTTCCTCACCACAAACGGTGGTGTGAGCAGGGAGGACAGATGGGCATCGCATGGTGACTCCAGGTCTCCTCAGAGAAGGGAAGAAACGTAGCCATGGTAGCCCGGCCCTTGAACTTCGCGTATTCCTATTTGACCAGAGATAGATCGCCTTAGTGTTTTCAGAAAGCCGGGATGCAGAAGACGGCAATGCGCATCCCCACGCGAGCAGTCCCCTCGAGACAGGAGACGTGGAGAGTTGCGACCCGTGTGGCACTCGTGTCCACGCCGGAGGAGCTCTCCGAGGAACGTGCACTTCCGGGGATCGTTTAAGCTGCTTGATCAGGCGTACTTGTGCAAAATTGATTTTTTTATGTTAATATTTTCCTGCTTAATTTTATATAGCCTCAATTTTCATTTTTTTAAGCATCAAGGGAAATTAAAAGTCTTTGATGGGGATTCAATATGTACACTGAAATTGATAGGCATGCCCGTCATTGGTAGTAATTTTGTGTGGCAGTTCTTACTATGTTGATGTGGTTTTTTTCTTTTTAAAATAAACTCAGTATTTTAAAGTATAAGTATGCCTATTTGGAATAATTGACCACATCCCCCAACACCCACACAGGTAAAGTGAAGTGTGAGCTCTGGAATCCCGGAGAATAGTTTTGAAGTGAGCTACCACTCCTGTGGGGGCGGGCGCAGGGGTGGTAAAAGAGCTAACATTTACTGAGTATGTACAGTGGCCCAGGTCTCCACGACTTCCTGAACCCTCCTCTCCCATGGGCGGGTCCTCTTACTCTCACCTTGCAGAGCTGAGTAAAGCGAGGCCTTGGGGACAAACCTGTACTGCAGCGAGGTCCGACTCAGGGGTCACCGCCAGCAGCATTGCCCACTGCGCAGCCCGGCCCAGGCTGCCCCTCCCACTACCTGGCCTCCAGGGCTGGGGGTTCACCTATGTGGTCCCCAGCTACAGTGAGCCACCTCCCGGACACAGGTGAACTGCCAGAAATGAAAACATCTGTGTGACAGTGGCAGCCCAGTCTGCTAGACAGACAGCATGCCAGCCATCACTGGGCCCTCCGCTTTCTCCCCCCTGCATCTGTCAGTCCCCAAGGCTGACGCCACCCCCTAACTCCTAGAGGGCCCTGAGTTCTCCAGTGCTCCATCTCCCCAGAACCCTCTGTGGACCAGGTCGGCTGTCTCGCACCATCATTCCCCTCCCTCCCCCCAACTGGCTCTGAACTTCCATCCAGTCACGACCATCCTTTTCCACTCTGGCAGGTGTGCCCCAGGACAGCCTCTGGAAAACCGAGACACCTCCACCTTCTCCCCTGCCCCGAGCCCGGCTCCCCACAAGGCCCTCCATCTTGCTGTAGAGCCAGGAGATGGCACCTGTGTCTCCTTGCTGTCACGTCTTTTGCCTGCGACCCCTGCTGCATGCGCATCCCAGGGTGGCATTGCCCCTGGCACCCAAACTCTCCATCCCACTCTACCCCAGTTCCCAAACCTTGGCCTTCTCCTCGGAGAACCTTACCAAGTCTGGCCCACCCATTCCTGGAGCACCTTGACACCATCTCAGCACCCCACCGAAGACCCCTCCAGAGAGCGAGCCTGTCCTTGCGGAGACACCGCCCACCTCCAAGTCCTCACCACGCCTCTCCGTCCCGGCCACTGTTAGCGCTTGCCTGCCGTTGCACCCCACCCCACCCTGGGCCATTGGTGTCGCACAGCCATCTCCTGTGAACCGAGACACAAGCCTCTGCTCGCCTTGGCTCCCTAACGCCTCCTCCTGCCGTCTTCCCTGTGTCTTCTCATCAGGTCCTGGTGCCGGGTTAGCCCAGGCCCTCCACTCGTGGGCTGCAGAGCCCCACCGAGGGTGCCAAGCCCAGGAGCCCACTGCCTGCTCTGCCCCTGCTGGAGCGGGGCACACAGCACCCCGAGCCGCTCTGCCCATGCTCAGCCACCTGCATGAAGATGGGCCAAGTCCAGGGAGTGGTCAGCTCAGAAATGCTGTGGCCAGGCGCCATGCTGAGGGCCGGGGCCCTCAGATCCCAGAGGTATGGGCTCTGCCCTCTACCCCACAATCCCAGAGTTCCCGGGGTCTGGGCTTAATTAGGGCCTCAGAAGATGTGCAGACACCGATTCCTTTGAGCATGTGGATGGCTGGGTCGTAGAGGGCCCTCCAGATAAAAGTGGCCACCAGGACATGTACAGCCACCATACCTCGAGGACCCTAAAGACCACCCTCCACACGAGACGTGGTTCTCCCTCACCATAACCACACAAACCGCCACTCTTAGAGGTGCCTAGAAACCTAACCAAAACACTCCCTGCCATCCAGTTGATGTCAACTCATGGTACCTCTTAGCAGAGGGTAGCACGGCCCCTGTGGATTTCTGAGGTGAACTCTTGAGAGTCGAAGCCTCATCTGTCTCATGAGGAGCAGCTTGTGGTTTCAAACTGCTGACCTCATGGTTAGCAGCCCAACACATAACCCACTCGTTCTATTAACTTTTTGGATTTCACAGCTGTGTTAGGGTAGACAAGAAATGAGTCCGGGGAGACTCGTGTGTATAAGACAGAGCTTTATAGACGAGAGCAGTTGAATGTTGAAAAAACATCCCAGCCCAGGCCAGATCAAGTCCACAAGTCCAACATTTGCCCATATGTCCAATACCCATCTATAAAGCCTTCTTCAGACTCACGAAACAAATGCAATGATGCCGAATGCAGGAAGATCACAGGCCAGTGGGTGGGAAGTCTCGTGGGTCCAGTGGCGGTAGAAGCATCTCAGCACTGGCAAGGGTTTCCATGTGGCTTCTCCAGTTCCCAGGGCATAGGGTCTATCAGTGTAGTGGCATGGGTCTTGTCAGTAGAACGTCTCTCAGGGGAGTGAGTCTTGTCAGTAGAGTCTTCAAGGGAGTGAGCAGAGAGAGAGGTGTCTCCCGCCTCCAAGGAGGAAAATACAGGAATTCTCAGGAGAAGGCCATGCCCGCTCCGAGGCCTCATTGGCTATGACCCGATTGACAGACTAGACGCCACCCCATCACCCTTAATCCTCTCAAGTCCCAAATGGACTCCAGATTATGTAACTACCACAACAGCATGAAATGTTTAGCCAAAAACCTGCATCCGTCGATGTTCATGGAAGCAGCAGTCATGGGATGAAAGGACCCAGGGCTGTGGGTAAATCTGCTGCACAGACCTCTTTAAAGTGCTGACGTGTAAGGGTGTGACTTTGAGGACGCGGGGTGTGCCTGTCTCAAGCCATGGTATTTTCAGTCGCCGCCTAGGCCCGTGAATGTTGGGCAATGAATTAAGAGCACTGAGCAGAGACGAGTGGCTGCATTTGCGTCATGCTGGCGAAGAACAGGGGAAGTACCCCGACCTGCCCAAAGCACAGACCCGCCTCCACGAGCAGCACAGCAGGGCGCTCCTTCCAGGCCAGGATGGGAGGTTTCGTCTCACGTACCTCAGGCGTGGCAGGAGAGTCCTGTCTCTGGAGAAGGACATCATGCTTGGCTCAATAGAGGGGCAGCAAAAGAGAGGAAGACCTGGACAAGATGGTCTGACTCTGGGGCTGCGACGATGGGCTCAAACATAAGCACAACTGTGAGGGTGGCGTAGGACCGGGTGGTGTCTCCTGTTAGAGGTGGGGTCGCTGTGTGTTGGAACTGACTCGACCGACCGGCACCTACGAACATCGAACATCTAGCCAGTACCTGGAAGTTGACAGAATACCTGTGAATACATTCTCTCCCTCTCGGCTCTGTCTGCCAATCATTTTGAGGTGGTTACCATTGGAGCCAGGGCTGGTCGGCTCCAGTGAACATCCTGAGTGATCCTCTCCGTGTGCTAATCTGAGAAATGGGATAAAAATAGTAACCCAGCCAGGTGATTGTGAAGATTAAAAGAAGCCACCCATGAGGACACCTGGCACCCAGTAAGTGCTCACTTAGGTTTCGCACTGAGAACCCTGTGGCAGAAACCTCGCAGCAGGTGGTCCCAGGTCTAGTGCTGAGCGGCCAGCCGTGCCTCCGTCCTCCCATTGCTTTCGGTGGTCCCTGCACCAGCCCTAAGCCTGTGCTTGCCTTGGCCTTCTGTGTTCAGCCTCAGACAACACTCTCTACTTTTGCAGCGACCGAGTTCAATGGTTCACTGCAACAGCACGCAGAACTCACAGACAGCATTCACCATTAAAAGGATATAGGAAGGAAGTTAGCAGGTTGCAATGTTCAGGATGCAGATGTTCCGTTCCTTCAGGGCTGCTGATAAATGCCTAAAGGGCACGTCACACTTCAACCTGAAGACATTCAGCTGAAGCTCTGTGGGTCAGCATGCCCCAGCTCCTCCAATTCAGTGCTCCGAGGAGTCCCACTCCACAAGCCAGCCTCCTGCCCCAAAGCACTCAGCTTGACTTGCTCTGTGGGATGGGAAGGCCACCCCTCTGTCTCACTCTGGCTCCTGGTTTTGCTGCTGCTCCTCTGATGTCACAGCTGTCTTCTGGAGCCAGGAGGTTCAACTGCACAGGGATCTCAGGGTCCAGAGGGCATGCTCTATTCCTGGCTCTGGCTGGTCGTGAAATCCAGCCCCCTGCTTCTCAGAGGGCTCATTTTATACCTGTGTAGTCCAGGTAGACTAAAGAAACAAATTCATAGACACTCATGTGTCTAAGAAAGAGCTTTATTTCAGGTTTTGTACCCAAAAAAGAAAGAAAGAGCTTTATATCCAAGAATAATTGAATATTGAGAAAACATCCTAGCCTAGTCCAGATTAAGTCCTTAAGTCCAATATTAGCCCATATGTCTGATACCTATATAAGACAGTATTTATCAGTCTCATAAATTCCTCTTCAGACTCACACAACACAAGCAATGACACCGAATACAGGAAGATCACAGGCCACTGTGTGGAAAGTCTTGTGGATCCAGTGGTGGTGGAAGCGTCTCAGCACTGGCGTGGGTCTCCATGTGGCTCCTCCAGCTCCAGGACTCTGGCTCTATCAGTGTAGCTCCATGTGGCTTGTCAACAGGAATGTCTCGCACAAAGAGAGAGAGAGTGTGTCTGGCCCCCATTAAGCCATTTATCCCCCTAGCACCTCCAAATGAGGTTATCAAGCTGCAACATGATTGACAGGTTAGACTCCACCCTTTCACTCTTAATAGTTTCAAGTTGACACCAGGTTATGTAATTAACACAATACCCAACAGAATGGCACTCCAATGAATCTTGCTAACAATTCCTCACAGGTGAATCCAATCAGGGTCCTCCCCCTGCCCCCTTCTTACCCCAGACCCATGCAGGAAAAAGTTGTTTGGTGGGAGCTCACTGCCATAGAGTCAAGGCTGATTCATAGCGACCCCCTGAGGGTTTCCAAGACCATAACTGATGAGATGGGAGTAGAAAGCCCAGTCTCTCTGCCAAGGAGCTGTGGGTGGTTTTGAACTGCCGACCCTGTGGGTCCCAGCCCAGCAGGTAACCATTGCACCAGTGGGGCTCCATGTTTGATGGGAAGAGCCACATTAAATGATTCGAAGACTCGCCCCTTCAAACATTACACTTAGCAGTAGTC